ATTCAGCCCATAAATTACATCATAACATTGTTTTTAGTGGTACGATTTGCATCAGAAATAAATCAATAACCAGGGTAGAAGCTAGGATGCACCTAGATGTTTTATCACAAGACTGAAGTGTTAGGTCTGGCAGTATGCAATATGATGATTGGCTCCAAGATTGTCTATATGACTATCTCATCACAAGACCAAAGGAATGACAAGTGGTGGCGCTAGGTGTTGTTTGTGATGTCAAGTGACATCACAAAATTTGTGATAGCTGCACTAATACACTTGAATTTAACAAAAAATTATCAACATATATGGGTATGCATATAGCTTTGACATCACTAGCTTCCAACTCCTAGCACCGCCACTGAATGACATACTAGTGCAACAGATAAACCGAAATAGACCTTTATCACAGAAATGAGCTCTTGTTACGACTATGAGCTTTCTCGCATCTCTTAGAGTGCACAACCAGAAGAAACTAATGATCTCTAATTTCCCATCTATGAACTACCAAACCCCGACATTTTAATCAACCACCAAGACATACCAATTACATTCCCAAGTCAGCATTCTCTACTTTTACCATAGCTACTGCCTACTCTGATGCACCTTATGGTCATGGGAAAGAATTGAAAGTCAAAACATCCTTACAATTGAGGAATAGGGCCTTGTCGGCAGCAGAGGGCAAACAACGCCTGTTATTCCTACTATTCAATAACAAGGAAACGGTCATACCAACTATACAGTGGCGCACATGAATGAACACAGGCATCGGAAGACTTCACCTCCATACAATAGGACATTTTAGAGAACTATGACACAACGGAGATACTCCGTTCTGCCATGCTCAAATTTGCTATGTAGTACTCCCTCCGTCCTAAAATATAAGAACGTTTTTAACACTAGCATAGTATCAAAAACGTTCTTATATTCTGGGACAGAGGGAGTATGTTCTAGGAAAAAATACTCAAATTTTCAATTAGTACAAAAATCTGAACAGGTTTCCACACAAAGAAAGTTTCGACGGAATTCAACCTTAACTTCCCATGGAGCAACTTTTAACCCAAAACTTAGCAAGACGGAAGTACCTTGATTCGTCTGTGGTAAGGTGGCTCCAATACCGCCGATCATCGATGCCGGTAATCGCCAAAGCCTTCGAGGAGATGGACATGCAAAGACCACCCTTGCTCTTTTGGATCCAAAATTCCTACAGAGGTGTTTTCAGTCAAGTAATAATTTCAGCATAAGTACCAGAAAAGCCAAGAATAAACACCATCCAAGACAGCAAACATAAACAAAGAAGGAAAACAGAGACCAATAGACACTGACACATGAAAGGAAAACTACTGCTCCATATATCTGGGTCTTTATGAGCCTACTAGCCCACATAAGCAACCAAGCAATCCATAATCTAAACTCTCAGAAACATTACCAGTCATAGTTAACAAACCCCTCTCAGCATCTCAGATTCGTTGCACACAAACCAAATCTACCTTCTAGATCCTCTCTTCCAAGGAACACACTTTTTTGTCATGAAAGCAAAGCTGTACTGGTTGGTTTGCAACAAGTACAAGGAGCAAACTAATCAATCAACATGCTTAAAGCAAGCTGTACTAGTTGGCCTGCAACAAGTACAAGTTGAAACTGTAGAAAAGAGATTAAGCTACCTTGGTGCCCCCATCGAAGGGGGTTGGCCTGCACAGGCGCGCGTACTTCTCCTTCTTGGTCGCCACGGAGGAGGAGCACCTACCATTGCCCTCCACCGAGCCGTCGCTGCTGCTATCGTCGTCGGCCGCCGCGGCGAGGGCGGCGAGGTACCGGTAGTTGGCGGGAAGCTTGGTGGCCCAGACGCAGTCGGCGGAGGCCGCGCCGCGGAACGCGCGGTTGAGGCGGGCGACGAGGCATATCTCCGGCGGGTCGAGGTAGAGCAGCACCGGCGCCACGCAGCTCTCCGGCATGTCGCCCAGCGACGTCTGGCCCCACCCCTCCGACCCCTCCATGCTCGAAGCCCCCGCCCCCATCTGCGCTCCAAGCCGCAGCCGATTGCCAAGCGATTCGACGACAGATTGCTCCAGGGCAAGGAAAAGTTTCAGAACTTGTTCGGCGTCAGCCCTCAATGCCCTCCAGGTGGGCGCCTATCCGGCGGCGACGGTTGGAGGGCCGCCAATTCCGCTTCGGATCAGCGAACCCGCGGCGAAGAAGCCTTCATCCGGAGCCAAAACGATCTGGGATTGTGTCCCGAAACACCAGCCCGACGGGAAAGCTCGGAACTTGGCGACCAAATCCGCCTCAGGCCACAGATTCTCGGGGAGACACGGCACCGAATCGAGCTGAGACACAAGTACGCTTCAGACGGGGAGAGGGGTGGAACCGGCCACGAGGGATTCCGCCATTGTTTCTCGGATTGGAGGGGGAGGCGAGGGGATTTCTGGATGGGGGAATTTAACGGAGGCAGACGGACGCTGGCATGGGCCTGTACTGCAAAGTAGCGCACTTTTTAGGACAGGTGTAAATTGAAGTGGATATTGTTGTAGTGGAGTGCCAATCTTTGGGTCTCTTAACGGATCAGGTTGGATTTACAGTGTTTATCTATTGGAGAAGGTAGGTTCGTGATCTGAACGTGGCTTCGAGTCGGGGATAGTCCTTAGCAGTAATCCTACTTTCAGAATATTATGGGAGTATATCAGATGAAGTAACAATATATACTTCCTCTGTCCGAAAATACTTGTCATCAAATTGAATAAAAAAGAATGTATCTAGACGTATTTTAGTTCTAGATACATCCATTTTTATTCATTTTGATGACAAGTACTACACAAGTGTTGATGCTCATAATTTCGCTAGGTTTTGTCTTTCTCTTAATCATGGTCGTCACTTGTGGTTGGCTTCTCCATGCCCAAGTGCAAATAGTATATCTGTAAATGTTTCTCATGATTAATAAAGCCTAGAGGATTGTTGTGAAAAAATACAGTGCATTTACTAAACCTCGGGCAGCCAGAAAAAAAAAAGCATTCAGTCGATTTCGCAAAGAGGAAGGAGGGCACTCGAGTCACCAAAAAACCTCATCGGAGAAAGGGATGACGTGGTTGGCCGCGGTGTCATCAGCAAAGTAAAGAAAGGGCATTGATAGGTTCAAGTGGCAGATGTAGACTTTGACCCATGATGGTGTGGAGCTTAGCCTAAGGTAGGGAAAATTGATTTTGCATGTTTTGAGAGGGGGTTGCCATGGCACCCATGGTACCCCTACTAGATCTGGCATGGCTACAGGTGCAGGGTGGTGCCCTGCGTTGAAGAATGGTGGACTTTAGACAACAACATCATTGTTGGTTTGAGCGGGGGTGAAGGACGAGAGAAATTGGCACCACAGTTTGGTTGGCCGTGCACCCATATCAGATCGAAAGCAACTATAGTAGAGAGCAGATGAGGATGAGAGACGGCGCAAAGTTGGCACGTCTGCTATGGATCGACTGCATGCATTACGTGTTCAACCGGAGCACGTAGCACTAATCCGCCCGTTGGCAGTCGCAAGGGGCCAAACGGCCCAAAGGAATACTCGAGAATGATCAGCTTGAAAAGGATCTATATATACACACACGTCTCTGATCGATGATTGCGCCGGACTGAGATCCCTGAAATATCCAGCAGCTGGGCCGCTCGCATCCATATCGGGGCTAGGTCAAGCACACCCCTTGCGTCCAATCATGCATGGTGAGTACCGGCAACAGACGGCGGGAGGAATGAAGCTTGTTCTCCTCCGGAGCACGACGAGAGCGCGAGACAGTACTAAGAATTTATTCTGTACGTGTGTGGAAGCCGATAAGGATCGAAGCGCGCCGTCGCGACGCGTGCGCCGGACATGAGCTGAGGGAAAGAGATTGAGGCCATGGCCGTGCATATCCGTGCGCGCACCGGCTGCCGCCCAAATGTTCGGTGCGCGAATTTCGCTTTGCAGAGGTTTCCACCGGATAGGCTCCGCGTGTGAACGTGTTTTCGACGCTACGAAATTACGGGCGATTATATATATGTTTATTTATATATATCGTCTGCATGATCGACCAGCATTGTCTCCATATATTTTGGAGCTTCTCGGCGGCTATCAGTCGCCATCCTTCTGTCGGCAGCCTCCACATGCATCGTCGATCTTGTGCACGAGTACTTATCCCTTTTTTAAAAAAAAACAATGGTGGAGTTCTTATCTTTGCTATGATGTTATTTTGCCACTTGAATTTTTTAGGAGAGACGTCTCATACGAGTAGCGTTCGATCTTGTGCACGAGTACTTATCCCTTTTTCTAAAAAAACACTGGTGGAGTTCTTATCTTTGCTATGATGTTATTTTGCCACTTGAATTTTTTAGGAGAGACGTCTCATACGAGTAGCGTTTTGTGAGACACTGATTAACCACTGGGGGCCCACGTGCCGGTGTCTAATCAGGAAGGAGCCGACCGGCCTGAACCTCTGGGTCACGGGCAAGGTGGAGCCGAGCAATACGAAACATTTTCCATGGGCCCACAAGTGCGGATCCGAGTCAGCCGGCCGCGCCTGCCCTATCCACTTCTAAACGTCGACGGACGAGATCTGAAGATTTGACTCTGATCTCAAAAAATTCGAGATCTAACCGGTTTTTCTACAACCATATTATTAGGACGACGATAACTGCCACACGTGTAGCATCTAGGGGGTATGTGCCGCACGCCTCGTGTGGCATCGACACAGGCCCGCCCGCACGAGCACGTCCGCGCGCACCCTGCCACAGCCCGCACGTTCGGTGTGCGGCGCAATCGCCCGCACTAGCACGTCCGGGCGAGCGACCTCACGGCCCGCACGACCCGTCTCGGCCCTCGCCCCTCCCCGCCTGTGAGCCACACGTCCCGCGTGGCAGTAACCACGCGTTCCGCCGCGATTGCCATGGTTCGAACCCTCTTTCATGTTCGTTTAACTGTAGTTGCCATGTTGCTGAACTGCAGTTGCCATGTCTGACAACTACAGTTGCCATGGTTGCTCAACTGCAGTTGCCATCTCAGGTCAAGTGTCGGATGTCATTTTTGGACAACTGTAGCTGTTGCCATGTATGGTCTGGTCTACTACAGTTGCCATGATTTGAAAACTTTATGGTTTGCCACCTACTAACACTAGACAATTGCCATGTAGCACTACAAAAACATGGCAAAAAATATGTTCGGGTAAAAGAGAGAGTTGCCATCTGCTTACAAGCACACTAGGGCAGTTGTCATGTACCCTGCAAAAACACATGGCAACTGATAGCTTTTGGTGTGTGAGAGAGGAGACGGGCATGTGGGCGACGGTGGTATCTTTAGGAGTTGCCACCTACTAACACTAGAGAGTTGCCATGTAGCGCTACAAAACAGACGTGTCAACAATAACATGTTCGGGGTAAAGAGAGTTGTCATCTGCTTATAATCACAAATAGGGCAGTTGCCACGCACTAGCACTGGACAGTTGCCATTTAGCGCTACAAAAACAGACGCGGCAACAATAACATGTTCGGGGTAAAGAGAGTTGTCATCTGCTTACAATCACAAATAGGGCAGTTGCCATGTACCCTGCAGAAAACATGGCAAATGACAACTTGGTGTGGGAGAGTGGGAAAAAGGGCAGTCATGGGAGATGGGGAACAGAAGTCGTGCGCGGCGTGCGGGCGCGACAGCAGTTCCACCGCACGCCCCGACTCGCAACCGGTCTCGTCCGAGGGAGAAACAGCGTGCGGGCGAACTACCTACACACCACACACCGGGCTTGTCCTACGTGGCACACCAAATCCATCTTTTGGTGTCAGGATTCGTGCAAAAAACAACCAACGACGATCCAGACGTGTGGGCGAGTTGGAGACGTTCCACACGTGTGGGCGTTAGTGTTTCTGTATTATTAAGCTGTAGGGTATAAAGGCATGTATAATGGTTGATAAGATAGTCTTATCTTAAATCTTGCATGTAATTTAGAGATGGCAAAAAATAATGTCTACAATGGGTCATTTCTTAGTCTTATCTTCAATAATTAGTTGTTCCTAAAAATATGGTGAGACATATTATGCTAAGAGATCATCTCTTGTCTTCTCTTATTCTTTTAAATAAGAGAAGACAAGCTTTTTCTTACGAGTTCTCTCTCCTCCACATCATCATTTATCCTACATATCATTCCTAAGATAGCACCATTGTACATGCCCTAACTGCCTACCGCCACGAGTCTCAATTGCAGGACTTAACTACGCCGTCACGCTTGCTTAACATGAAAAATATCCTACCGCCAGAGAGCCTGGCGGTAGGCATATGCCACAAGTGGGAATCTTCGTGACCGTGTGAGCATGAGGCTAGTAGTAGTGATACTACTCCTAGTAGAGAGATGTACATCGATGCATGCATGCTAGCCCGTCTTCCTCTTCTCTCTCCACCACTACTAGGAAAAGGCCTACTAATGGCGCATCACTAGTGCGCCATTAGTATCGCGCCACTAGTATTTATTACTAATGGCGCACCACTGGTGCGCCATTAGTATCTGGTATACTAATGTCGCACCACCCAATGCGCCATTAGTATATAACACCATGCCTCATTAGTATGCCTCCCAGGGGCCATATTTAACCGTGTGCTTTGGCACAGTAATGGCGCACTGCGGATGGATGCGCCATTAGTATACTTGGCATACTAATGGCGCACTCTTTGGTGATGCGCCATTAGTATACTTTGGCATACTAATGGCGCACTCTGTAGTGATGCGCCATTAGTATGAATATTAGGTTTTATTTTTTTTACTTTTCTGATTTTTGCACAGGTTACAAAATATATTATTTGACAGAATATAGACAGTAGCACACAGCAACAGCAGATTCGTCGAATACAATAGAAGATTAGTCTCCGAATACAATTCATCATATTAGTCTCCGAATTCAAAAGACCGAACAAAGATAAAACATTACAAGTCTCGAGACCGCGAGTATCGAGTTTGACTTCACATTACAAGTCGATATCGATCATCTAAACTACCATCACATAGAAGAGAGCTGC